GCTGGTTTCGAACTCCTGAGCTCAAACAATCCGCCCGCCTCGGCCTCCCAGAGTGCTAGGATTACAGGCGTGAGCCACCGCGCCCGGCTGGAGTCACTCTTTTTGAAATATATATTCAAATATTTACAGATGTCATGAGTTATGATGGAGATTTGCTTTAAAATAATCCAGTGACAGTGGCAGAGCGGAGTGACAATAGATGAAATGAGATTGGTCCCGAGCTGCTCGTTGTTGAAGCTGGGTGACGAGCACATGAGGCTTCATTATACTAATCTCTCTACTTGTGGAGATGTTTGAAATTTTCCATTATAAAAAAAATAAAAGGAAAAAAGGTCTTGATTGTTCTAATAAAGTTTACTGCTTTGTTTTCTGTTTCACTGATTTGAGTTTTGGTCTTTAAAAAATTCCTTCTCTCTTTGGCTTTATTTTACTGTCCTTATTCTAGGTTCTTTTAGGACTTTTTCATATATTTTAATACTCTACAATCCACTTTGGCCACACAGCACAGTAGTCATATGTAGTACCTTCTTTCGTTCATTTCTAAACAGCCTGTGATTCCCATTTAGAACGGATTATATTTTAGTGACAGAGGGATAAGCAAGTTAACAAGAGATTTAGGACAACAAATATCTATAGTAAAGCTGGAGAATTGAGAGGAAGCAATTTTAACATTTTTTGACTGTTTCCTTTGACGTTTTTGCCTTTTCTGCTGCCAGATCTTCTCAGCTACTCAGAATCCAACATTCTAGTTCCGAGGCGGGATTCTTTATTCTACTTCAGGTCGCCAGAGCCTTCAGCTTAAAGAGTACCAAGATGAAACTAAAGGAAGGATCGTTTCTGTGGTACCTCTATCTGGACAAAGCATACTGTTTACTGTCTGTGAGGAACGTGAAGGTCTTGCTGGAATATTTTCACCTTCTCGACGTGCACGGCAAGAACACCTTGAATGGTCAGTGAGTCAGACATGTTTCCTCTGGGTCGTCACCTGGTTTGTAGCTGATGTGCAGGAAAACTCGCAGAACCAGAAACTATTTAGCTAATGAGTATTTTATTGTATCAGCTAGCTGAAGCACAGAGAACCTGCCAGCTGAGAGTGGAGACTAGTGGTAGCTCTGTGGGGAGGAAAAAACTGCAGGCTCCGGGGTTAAATTCTGGCTCTCCCCATAATTCCTCGGTGATTTGGAGAACATGTCATCATCCTCTTTAAGTCCCATTTTTCCTATCTAGAGGTGAGGCTTCTACTAAGGGAGTCCATCTCATAGATGGAAAAAAGGTAATTCAATGAGATAACTTTGGCAAATGCTTAGCACAGTGCCTGGCGCATTGTAAAGACTTACGGTTTGTTAGTATTATAATTATTATTCTTGGGAGGTAAGCCCCACTCAGGCCTTAACCCTCAAGACCCCTCGGCAAGAATTTACTTCTTATTCGTCAAATGGGAGGTTTGAATCGGATGAACTGCAAGATCCTTTCTAATTCTTGGTACCTGTGAATGACCAGAAAACGTTGAAGATCTCAGCCTTGCCTCTTGAGTCCACAAACTAATAGAAGACCAATTAGGTTCTTTGCAAGAGTGGGTAGAAATGAGGTATCTGTCTTAGTCTGTCTATGTTGCTATAAAGGAGTGCCTGAGGCTGGGTAACTTACAAGGAAAAGAGGTTATTTGGCCCCCAGTTCTGCAGGCTGTACAAGAAGCATGGCGCTGGCATCTGTTTCTGCTGAGGCCCTAGAAGCTTCTACTTATGGTGGAAGGTGAAGGGGAGCCGCGTCACAAGGGGAGAGGGGACGGAAAAGAGAGGTGGGGAGGGAGGTGCCAGGCTCTTTTAAACAACCAGTTCTCGTGGGAACTCATGGAGAACTCACTGCTTACCTCGAGGGATCTGCTCCTGTGACCCAAATACCTCCCACATTGGGGATCTAATTTCAATACGATATTTGGAGGGGACAAATACCCAAACTATATCAGTATTCCATCCATTCATTCATTCTGACTTCAGAGAGAGAAATATTTGTAAATAAGGGGTTCCTTCCATAAAGATTTTTTCAAGAGCCCATTCAATCTTAAAAAAACAAAAAGAGGACACTTTCTTTTTCTCTTTACATATAGATTTACATACAGTACACTACCAAATATTCCCAATAGCCCTGCCCTAGATAAGGCAGCTTCAGGCACCCTAGCTATAAATATTAATATAAAGCTGAGATTGAAACTCAGGGGCTTTCTGACTCCAAAGCCCACACACTCGTCTCACTGGAATGTTTGCCGCACGGAGTCTGATCTCCCCAGTGACTAAATCACTCCTTTATGATGCAACACCCGAGAGGTAAAGTCATGCTCATGTCTTCTGTCACCCAGGGACTGGATAGTGACTTGGAAATTTGAAGGCACAGCCTTAATGTTTGCCTTCCTGGGGGAGAAGTCACTTAAGGCCTTAGAGACTTGAGTGGGCCAGAGTCAGCTGGTTTCAAAACAGTTTATTAAGTAGCTAGTAAGGCCCACATGAAAACAGACATCGCTGTGTATGTATAAGGTGTGTTGTTCCCAGGTGCTCATACTCAGTGAGGCACGGAGAAGGAATATCAAGAGGCTGTCCGAAGGCCCCAAATCATGACATTGTGACCAGGGGTTCACTGTGCTTTTAGCTGGTTTCAGCTGCACGTCCAAATTATGTAGATATGTTTTACATATTCAGTGGAGCCATTTTTTTTTTTTTTTTTTTTGAGACAGAGTCTCACTTTGTTGCCCTGGCTAGAGTGAGTGCTGTGGCGTCAGCCTAGCTCACAGCAACCTCAGACTCCTGGGCTCAAGCAATCCTACTACCTCAGCCTCTCAAGTAGTTGGGACTACAGGCATGCGCCACCATGCCCGGCTAATCTTTTCTATATATTTTTAGCTGTCCAATTAATTTCTTTCTATTCTCTTGCTCCGGCTGGTCTCGAACTCCTGAGCTCAAACAATCCGCCTGCCTCAGCCTCCCAAAGTGCTAGGATTACAGGCGTGAGCCACCGCGCCCAGCCAGTGGAGGCATTTCTTATGCAGGAGACAGTTTCTGTAATCAACGGGCAAGGGGCAATCACATGTAGACAAAGTTACATGGAAATTCCTTGTGACCCTCTGGGATTTGTATATACGACTGGGGACAACACATGCCACGGTGTAAATGGATCACCATGTTTGTTTCTTCCTGCTTCTACTCACTGGGACATATTAGTGAGTGAAATGGCAGGCAAAACACTTCCCTATTCTTTAAACAGTATTTTTCATTATTTTTTCTCTGAATGCATGATTAAATATCCATTAACTAACATGCAAAAGATACGGCTTCGCTGTGGAAAGAGCAGGGCTGTGGACAGACCCACACTTGAATCCTGGCTCCACACTGCTCCACACTTACCATGAGGCACACCTTTGTCACTCAGAGTGTGGGCCACAGACCAGCAGCCGTCACATCACCCGCAGCTTGGAGAAACGTGGACTCCCAGTCCCACGCCCGGTTTCCTGAATCAGAATCTGCGGTTTTGCAAGATCCTCTAGTGGTTGGCACGCCCGTTAGTTCCCGAAGCGCTGATGTGCACTGACTGATAGATGAGGCTTATTACAAGAGGGGTGTGATACCACTTTCACTGTGGGGTTTGCCAGCGCTCAGTGAGACCTGGCATTTAAAGTTCCTAACACATAAGGTGGTCAATAAGTTTTGTTTCCTTCCTCCTGTAGTCAAATGCATTTACTTTATATAAGCATGAGGCATACTAAGACTTTTATAGAGGAGGAATGATTTTTTATTTCTCATTTTAATTAGCTCAAGGGAAAGGCCCAGGAAAAATGTCAGCATTTCCAAGGAAGTGCCCTAGATCCCTAACAAAAATTCACTTCTCCCTTTCACACACAAGGGGCACTTTGTGTTTGCGTTGTATGTTGCCACCTTGCCTTTGATCGGTGCCGTGAGCACAGCTGTCTGCTCCATGAGGCGTGTGAGCTGGGGTCGGGACCAAGCACTATCCACTGTCTTACTTGACTCAACTCCAGGCACAGGGCTTTTCCACACAGCTCGAGGACCATTGAGGTCCGAGGAATTGTGGAAGGTATAGTCGCGAAGCCAGAAATACTAATGTTCTTCCCGGGTCAACGAGCTTCCAACATTACTACTGCTTATATGGCTCCTAGTTGTTTAGCATTTCAGAACTGTTTCAGAATAATCCCTCTCCTTGCCTCCCCATCTTCACAGATGTGCTGTTCTATCACTTCCTTCATCACGTGACTGACTTGAAAAAGAGACAGATCGAGATTGTGTTCGACATGCTGGACTGGAATGCCATGGGCGAGATCGGCTTTGAGCAGTTCTACGTGTTGGTGTGCATACTGCTGGCACACGAGGCAAGTAACAAGCAGGGTCCAGGGCAGAGGGGGCAGAGGAGGCAGAGCTTGGCTGCTGCCACCCTCTTGCTAAAGGGGGCACTGAATTAGGCATGCATCAAAATTTTTCTTCCTTTCACTAAAAACAAGGAAGAAAAAAATGGGGGACAGAGAGAGAATCCTGGTTCCCAAATGGTCCACCCGTAACCTGGAAGTTTTCCACAGCCTCTCCCTGCCGCTGCCTCTGCCTTGCCTTGGAAAGAACAGATCTCATCCTGTTGGGGCCCTTCTTGGCACGCCCTTCCTCCCTTGTGCTATTGGTGATTGTCAAAGAAGCACCTGTAATCTCAAAGTGCCTCACTCCCTCCATGGTCCTTTGCTCAGAGAATTTTCTGAGGGGGATGGAGACAAGAAATGCTCTTCCTTGGGTCCCTCCTCACCATATACACACTTCTAGCCTGTATTTCCCCATTCCCCACTCCTTGAGGAATGGAGGTCACCGAATGTAAGGAAATGCATCAGAGTCACTACAGTGCCATCTAGCAGAGTGATTACTACAGGTGGCCTAAGCTTCCTCGCGACACAGATGCTGAAGGGGGACGATGTGCTAACGAACCTCTTCATCCCTGAGCTGTGTGATCTTGCCTTTGTTTTAGGGAATGGGCTGGTGAAGATACGAGTCTTAATGAAACAAGTTTAGAAAGGAGCACTGATAACCCTGTTCCTGTCTTACATATTTCTATCAAAATAGAACCATTTGGAAAAGCAGTTTATGTATCGCCATTCTCGGCTTATTTTTGACCTGCTCGACGTGGATGGGGAGCAGAGAATTCGTCAAGCCACCTTCCAAATGTACAGATTTCTCTTCAATATTGATACACAGGAACTCAAAGAGCTCTTCCATGACTTTGACGTAAGTGCAGAACCCAAAAGTGTGGCATGGCAACCTCTTTCCAGAAATAGAGGACAATGTGCTACTACCTACGAGTGAGGAGGAGGGTGGGAAAAAACCTACTCGAATAAGTGTATTGCATGGCACTAGGATCAGAAAAAACCTGGAGAGACTTATGGGCCCTGGAAGGGAAAGGGTTGATTAAATGCTACGTTATGTAATATGGATACAAAATTACAGTTTAGCGAAGGACACATAATATGGTGGTGATTGGTGTTGGGGGAAGCGTTTATATATTTGATTAAGTAGAAAGGGAAAAAGTCTATGACAGGTATATGTGAGCAATATCCTAATAGAAAGCTATGGTGAAGACAGTGAATTCTGCCCATTTAAAGAGGAAACCCATGTTGGGGAAGCAAGTAGGAGCTAAGGTTGAAAGTGATGGACCACATCGTGAAGAAATTTAGACGCCAGCCTGAAGCGTCTGGACTTGACATAGTAGAAGAAAGTGACCCTTGTTCATTTAGGGTCTGCAACAGACTCTTATTCCTGGGTATTAGATTACACTCAGACTATAATTATATCCTAATTACTGAGCCTCTGTAAGTTAAGTTTTTAATAAGAAATTAATACAATCCTGCTGTCATCTGAGACAAAGGATCAGTTCCTTCCTAAAATATTTTTTTTCCCTCCCACAACAAAAGCGCATCAATTACAAGGAATTTAAGCTGTATACTATCGTCTCCGTGGACAAATTCCAGAAGAAGCAGAAAGCAGAGAGAGAAAGACAAAATCTCTCATCTTCTAAACTTCACATCAAGCGGCTGTGAGCAAAGAGAGTCTCTTGGAAAACAAATGGAATCTGGAATAGACATGATTAAACTGTTAACATGGCTAAAAATAAATTTAGAGCATCAAAGTGGGTATGTTTACATGACTTTTATATATGAAGGGTCCAAATGAGCTCAATCAGCAGGTTCTGAATTTTAGTAACCTATTGACCTCGCACTGAACTCACAATAATGCAATGTGAAGTAACCACTTTCTTTTCTTGACATATCCCAATTCCACTGCTGCTTTCCAGATCAATCCTACTCAATAGGTCCCTATGTATCCAAATAACTGCCAACACTTACTAGAGCTAGGTGAGGCTTTCCTGATACTCATCACTTGTGATCCAGTACTCTCAGAATCCTTTCTAGTCTCCTAATCCTTAGGCTAGGGCCACCTAGATGCCAGGGATTCCAAATCAGCCAATGGTGAAGTGCCTCCAACCATAACAGAAGTCGACTTTTAAGGATGTGGAGGCTATGCTCTTCCTAGAACCTGAATTACCAAGTTTGGTGCTTAAGCAACTATACCAAATCTACTAGGGTAAAATAATTACATGCCCTTATGTAATTTTTTATATAATGCCTTGAGTAATTTAAACTATTTTTGGGCACAGGACTTGTGAATCCTCCTTACCTGAGTGTACTGTGATGTTAATAATGACGACAAAACTACAGTACATTATGTGCTCGCTGTGAGTTAGTTCTTTAGATGCATTACCTTACCCCTGTAACTGTGACTTAGGTGTTATTATCCTCAGTTTACAGATGAGGAAATTGAGGCCTACAGTGATTAAGAACCTTACCTGAGAACATATGGCTCACAAGTGGTAGGAACAGGATTCAAATTCAAGGTCAATTAGATGTCCATGCTTACAGCCAGGATCTGAGTAACTCCAGTTTTAGCAAATTCTGTTTCAGTTTTTTTTTTTTTTTGAGACATAGTCTCGCTCTGTTGCCCTGGCTAGAGTGAGTGCCGTGGCGTTAGCCTAGCTCACAACAACCTCAAACTCCTGGGCTCAAGTGATTCTACTGCCTCAGCCTCTCGAGTAGCTGGGACTACAGGCATGCGCCACCATGCCTGGCTAATTTTTTCTATATATTTTTAGTTGTCCAGATAATTTCTATTTTTTTTAGTAGAGACGGGGTCTCGCTCTTGCTCAGGCTGGTTTCGAACTCCTGAGCTCAAACAATCCGCCCGGCCTCCCAGAGTGCTAGGATTACAGGTGTGAGCCACCATGCCCGGCCTGTTTCAGTTTTAAGCTGGTATTTTATTGGCTCAGAAATCCCTTCTGCATAATGGTAATTACCATGTCTCCTTCTACCATAAGTTTTTGAGGAAAAACTTTGGGGATTAAAGAAATATAGCTCATTTACTATCAGCCAAGGATTTCTTAAGAATACATACATAGTATGAGGGCAGTCTGGAAAGTATCCAGCCATGGACACAATGGATACATGGATACAATCAATGGCTGGATGCTTTCCGGATGGCCATGGCACACCTGACCTTAAGGCATTCAATGAGCTCCAGAGTACCTAATATCATCAAAAATAAAATCTAGGCCAGGCGCAGTGGCTCACGCCTGTAATCCTAGCTCTCTGGGAGGCCGAGGTGGGCAGATTGTTTGAGCTCAGGAGTTCGAAACCAGCCTGAGCAAGAGCGAGATCCCATCTCTACTAAAAATAGAAAGAAATTAATTGGACAACTAAAAATATATAGAAAAAAATTAGCTGGGCATGGTGGCACATGCCTGTAGTCCCAGCTACTCGGGAGGCTGAGGCAGGAGGATTGCTTGAGCCCAAGAGTTTGAGGTTGCTGTGAGCTAGGCTGACGCCACGGCACTCTAGCCTAGGCAAAAGAGTGAGACTCTGTCTCAAAAAAAAAAAAAAACAACAAAATCTAATTACACTCTGTCAATATGCAATAATACTGCTTATCTAAAACGGTCATTCATAAGTTAAACTTGTAATAATACAAATCATGTGAGTTACTATGACTATCTATATTTCACAGACATATCCCATTGATAACATGCTTTTGAGCATGACTTGTACGTTTAGCAGCTAAAACTTGTCTTCACCACAATGATACTACAAAAACTGAATGGAACTACCAAAAAAACAATAAAAATCCAAACTCATGTCACTTGACCTTTAATCTCTGTTTTCCACGTGGGGATAAACAGTATCTATCATATGGAACTGTTGTGAAGACCAAAAAACACAAAACAACAGTGCTTTTTTCTTTCTCTGATTTGGTGAAGAGTTTGCAATCATTCTCCAAGGTGAAATTTACCTCTGGCAAACAAGTATGGACACTACTACACTTACACAGAGTACTGAGACTAGCACTGTCTGGCCAGAAAGTGGCAGCTACAGATTAGTCGCAGTTCCAAGTGCCTTACCACTAAACTCATCTTGGTACGGGATTTTGCCTCTTTGTGGCAGCCTAGGTGGCTTTTGCCACCAGACAGCCTTAGGATCTAGGCATGGTTCTGGGAGAAGAAACTACAATGAGGTCTCAGAAGGCTCCTCTTTCCTGTCTTCCAGGGGGTCCTGCAATATATAAAGGGTAACCATGACATTTAGGTTTTGTTCAGACATGGTTGTTAAAACAATGAAAATATTATACTATTGTTTCAGAATGGGGTAGGGAGGAAGGATAGCCAAAGATAATAGGTTTAATAGGTATCAATTTTTTGCCCATTGATACGTGAGTGGATTAATGAAATGTGGTATATGTATACCATGGAGTTCTACTCAGCCACAAAAACAATGGTGATATAGCACCTCTTATATTATCCTGGATAGAGCTGGAACCCATTCTACTAAGTGAAGTATCACGAGAATGGAAAAACAAGCACCACATGTACTCATCATCAAATTGGTATTAACTGATCAACACTGAAGTGCACATATAGTAATAACATTCATCAGGTGTCTGGCAGATGCGGGGGTGGGTATATACATACCTAACGGGTGTGGTACACACCGTCTGGGGGATGGACACACTTGAAGTTCTGACTTGGGTGGGGCAAGGGCAATATACGTAACCTAAACATTTGCACCCCGTAATATGCTGAAATAAAAAAAAAATTAAAAAAAAATTTTGGCTAAATAATTTTAAACCACATGTAATAATGAAAGTTTCAGGAATGAGCAGGTATTATGTTTTCCCCTCCTCTATAGTGGATTTAGGGTGACCATGAAAGGTGAACCAACTATTAGATTTTAAAAAATGCTCCTCCTTTAAAGAGCATGTTCATAAACTGAGTGATTCTAGAATGGCATCAGGAAACTGAGCATTTATCTCCGATGGGCCCAAACTGGAATTCAGTGTAAAAACTAAAATTCAAATGCACAACTGATACTCTTTTGGGACTAGGAGTACAACAGATAAGACAATCTATCAATGTCCACTTTAGGACTTTTCTCAATTACATTATATGACAATAGTTTCTTCAATGTGTTTGTACATAAATGCTTCAATTTAAGTTTCATTATTTCCACAGAGTAAATCCACTGGACGGTGTGTTTAAGGGTAGAACTTACTAGCCCATGTACGTTTTAGGTATGTTTTTGGATGCTACCAACACTCTGTGTTATCACTATGTCACAGTTACATTAGAGTTCCTTGGTCAACAAAGTCTGTTCGGGGGCCTAAGCGATGGGGAGAGAGGAGTGGCACTTGCAGGGGGGGACAAACGGCAGGCCTGAATGGAGAGGGCTTCCGCGGCTACAGTTTCAGCCCAGGGCCACAGTCAGGTTCTCCCACAATCTATACACGCTATAAAGAGGGAAGAATTTTAGAGGGAGCTAACTATAAATAAAATAAAATCATTTATCTTCCATCAGTCCTTAGATCTCATGTCTTATCATCATCTTAAGCCTCAAGCCCAGGACAAAGACTAGAAAAGGCCAAGATGTGTGACATTTGCTGAGGTGGGACAGTTAACCACCTGAATAGCCTCTACCAGAACCAGAGGGATCAGAGGCTAAAGGCATCACAAGAAACCCAAAAAGAAATCACAGGACACTGGCTATTGCAAGGGAGGTTATCAGCTGTGTGGTTTTTTTTCCCCCTCTTCTCCATAAGTAAAAATATTAAATCAAAGTTTTGAGAGCTGGAGTTTGACACAGTGTGTATCTGCTAATTCGTACAATTAACATAAAAAGACTATTAAAAAAGTAGATTGTCTTAAAAACTGTCATAAAATAAGGGTTTTTTCCACATCAATGGAGAAAAGACAGATGAAAATTATATAGTAAGTAGTATCGGGAAAAGTGGGATAGCTATTTGGAAAAATAATATTAATAAATCTGGACTGTTACCCTATTCCTTTCACCAAGATAAATTTCATATAACAATGAAACCAAAAAGGAAATACTAAAAACATGAGAGAAAAATTTTTATAATTGCAGAGTGGGAAGGCCTTTTGAAGTTAAGAAGAAAACCCAGAAGCCATAAAATGAGAGACTGATAGATCTGACCAAGAAAAACTTAAAAACTTGCACATGGTAAATTCCACAAAAACAAAAGAAATAACACATTACAGAAAAGGATTAATTTCCTTAATACAGAAAGAATAGTTACAAATCACTAAAGACCAAAATGCAACAGGAATATGGACAAACTTAAATAGACAATTCACAGGAAAAAAAAAAAAAACCCAAATGGCCTTAAAATATATAGAAAAATGCTAATCTTCACCCAGGAAAAATACAAAGTATAACCACAGGACAAAGTTTTTTACTTAATAAGATTGTCAAAGATCAAAAAGTTGATCAGGGTATAGGGGAATAAGAATAGTCTTATTGCAAGTATAAATTGGCAAAATCTCTTTGGAGGGCAAGCCACATACATCTATAGACTGTACTCTTTCTAGGAATGCATTCTATAGATGTAATAGACACAAAGATGTATCTATATAAAAGGAAACTCATTGCCGCATGGTTCATAGTTGCAAAAGACTAAAAACAGTCAAGCTGTCCAGAATTAACAGTCTAAAACAACTCTTGTACACCCAGACAATGAAATACCATTGCAGCTACAAAGACGAATGAAGCAGATCTAGATCTATGTGTATGAACACTGAGATTCAGCATTTTAGAGAAAAACTAAATGTGCAGAATAGTATATGTATTTATAGAAAAAGTAGGGCAGAGTGGATGTGGTCATATCCACTAGAACAGTGGTTTTTAGAGTGCCTCTAAGCTCAGCAGGAGAAGCACACTGAGCAATTTTAAAAAATGCCAATTATAGCACCTCACCCAGACCTACTGACTCAGAACCTCTGGTGGAAGGGTCTAGCAATTTCTGTTTTAATAAGCCTTCCAGGTGACTCTGATGCATGCTTACATTTGAGAGCCACTGTGCTAGAGTACCTTAACAGATACCCAGAAAACTGGTAAAAGCTGCTACCTCTGGGAAGAATAAGAGATTAGGGGCAGGAGTGCAAGGGAGACTCTTCACCTTGGTATGTTTGGATTATATTCCAAAGGCATGTATCATCTATTTTAAATATTAAACATTTAACAAAACAAAACCTGTCACTTTCACGCAAAAATGAGTAACAAATGAGCTCAGTGCTTCAGAAAAATTATGAGTTTTGGTTTACAACATGATTCGTAAGAGAAAAAAACCGACAACCTGTTTTAGATCAAGATTTCAGTGCAGAAGATGAAGCATATTTATAAATGATCATGTATGACTTGGCATAGCAGAGCCTAAGTTTGGTGATAATGAACTTATTTATTGAGCTGAGGTTTTAAAAAGGAGAAAAACCTTCGCACTTCTCATTAGAATGAGGCAGATTACCCTTATATAGAGAGTAACAATTAAAAAACCAGAATAAAAGCAAAGACAAAGAGAAAATTGAACTTTTTTTTTTTAAAAAAAGCACAAAAACCCTACATACTAAAATTATACACATCAAGTATTGGTCCAATCTTATATCAATCTATTTACAATTAAACAGCACCATGGATTTCTCACCTAGGTTAGTTGAACATGTCCAGAAATTGTTATTCAAAGTATATGTTCCCTTAAAATAAACTCTTAAGAGAGCTCGAATCCTAAACAAACAAGACCTTTTATCAATCATAGATACTGATGACATCACCAATTTTCCTTAAGAAAAACAGGTTTAAACACTTTTTTCCAGTTGATAAACTTTGAGAGATGCTGCTATTCAATGTGGCACACAAATGAATAAAAACTTTTTGATGACAGCAACATACTGAAATACTCTCATACCTCCACCTCTAAGTACAAAATTTTCCTTTGGAATTAATGCTGCTGTTTTCTCTTGAATTTAGATTCAGTCATCGGCAATCCTAAATTGGATACAGCTACAATCTTTAAAATGATTGCATAAAAATAGGGAAGTATTAATAGTTAAAGCTCTCAGAAACATGGTAAGTTACAACTATAGATATATTTAATCAGGCTATAGAAAATGTAATACCATTTTTAACATTACATTTAAACTAATTAGCAGTTTCATTTCATCATTAAAATCAATAATGGTGCTTCCCATTCAAATAGGTGTGAAGGGCTGCTATTTCCCAATTGAGAACAGCGTAAGTGCCTTCTGGCCTCTACTTTTCCATCTCAGGGATTCTCAGGGGTACAGTGGTCAAGTCTTAGCCCCCTTCTCACCTAAGGAACCACCTTTTAAAAGGCTCCAAATTAAACACAATCCTTCGTAGCTTTATTCCAGTCACAGTACAAAAGAATCAGGTTATCTCACTGGACTTTTTAGTCCTCTAACCTAATTTGTAAAGGGTTCTTAATTTGCTTTTGCCAGGAAAGATGAGGAGGAAAATTGTCACCCACCACGAGTAGAGGTAACTGAACTGGAAATCACTATAGTATAAAGCAATGTTTCATTATTTGGTCTCACTGCTGATGTTTAAAGTGATGCCAGTAAACCTTTCACACTTGTAAATTTTGATGAAATTTTCTCTAAAAGACTGAAAATAGGCACAGTTCTCTCAGGCACAGATAGAATGGTTTTTCCTTACACTCTTCCTGCAAAGTGGAGGAGAAGAGAATAATTACTTTATTATCCTGTAGTGGGAACAACTGTACTTGATTCCTGTGTTCCCTGGCCCAGGAACTATGCATTTAGAGTCACAGTTAGCTATGAAAAGTTGTAAGCAGAGTAGCTAGATCAACGAAGGTATTATATAGTAGTGACCTTCTAAGCCTGGATATGAAAACAGCTTCATTATATAGACCTTTCAAAATGCCTATGCAGTAAGAGGATAAAAGACTTTTCAACTGAGTATCAGCTAAAGACCAGAGACTGCATTGACTAAATTATTGCCTAGTGTTCCAGAAGGGTGCCTGCCACCAATGTGCTAGAAGGCACCAAAATTTAGTGTGAATATAATAAGGAGCTCAACATGTAGGGATGGGGAGAGCAACACTGAAGTGCAATTTGCCAGTCTCCACTCCTTTATGGCTAAATAGTAATTGAGCTAAGAATAAAAACCAGAATAGAAGCAAACCTCAAATACTGCTCTTTTCAGTTTCTATTAAAAAAAAAAAAGCTTACATTTTATAACATTATGGATGGTTTCTGGGTATATAATTTGATATATTTAAAAAAAATCTGTATTCAAAAGGTGCTTGGTGCTGTTCTTCATGGATGCATCGTTCCATTTACAGTCCAAATCATTTAAATACAGCCATTACATAGTTGTTGAGTGTTTTAAAATAAATGGTTATCTATTTCTTAACTGCTTCTCAAATTAGAAATTGTAATTACATGAGTCTCAAAGGCTGGCTCTTTGTGTTTTATTATTTTTGTTGGTCTCCATCACAGATGGAATTTTTCACTGGTAATTCCTCAGAACTAAATCCATTCATAGGGAATTTAGAGCAGTGAAAACAAATTTCACGCCATAGAGTAGGAAATGACAACACAATAAAAAGGAGCAGAGGGATCTGGGAACCAGCCAATAGGACCAGTTCAGTTTTCAACTGGTGTTGGGTTCTGCAAAGGTTGGCTCACTATAACCTGCACAACATAGTCCTTGGGGATCTTCAGCTCTTCCAGCTTCATTTTGTCGGTGAGAGGTCTGCCAGAGAAGAACCACCGCTGACTACCCGGTTCCACTCCTTCTGCTGCATGTAACCGTCTCTTCATGTGGAATACCGTGTCTGTGCTACGAACCACAAGTTTAAGGTCTTTGCCTGTGGAAAGGCGCAAACGGAGCTGAGATTCATATCCAGAATTGGGTGGTGGCTCAGGAATATCCAGAGTCTCTATGTCACTCTTTTCCTCTATCATGTTGATTGGTGGTGCCAAGCAATAGACTGGAAGCTGGTATCTGTTCCCCAGTTCGTCATAGCACTCTGTAAGTGCACCTTAGAAAGAGAAGATATGAATAGAGTTTAAATAAATTCATTTTTGTTTATATCTTGCAAAATGCTTAAGCTTCTCGTTAGCATGCCACTGTAGAGAAAAAATATAAAATAATGCCAATCACTGTCAGCTGATCATCAGTGATGATCAAGCCCCATGCCCAGTTATTTGACTTTTTATCTAATTTTATATTAACCAGGATCCTAGCTCCTTACCCCTACCCCCTTCTAAGTCATTTCATGTCTAGTTCACAATTTCATTGAAATAGAAGGGAAGTGAAAGCATAAAAAATTCAAATTTGTTAATATTATTTAATGCTTACGCCACATTACAGAGAAATTCAAATTACATTGGGATGTCTTTTAAAGAAATGAATCAGCTACCTTAAACAAACAAACAAGAAAAAAACAGATCCCTAAGCCCAATTCACCACAACATAAGTGCTCCAGAGTAATTTTCTTAATGAGTGGATTTCCTAAATTGAAGTACTTGGCCAAAAGTCCTTAGTCCAAAGAGATCACAAACTAGAAATGACAGCCTTACCAGCTGTCACAGGCTCATTGCTTACATACAAGTCTCATTAGCACAGTTACCACAGAAATGACCAAGGTGTTTAACCCCAATCAGTCACTCTATTACAGAGAAGCTATGGATTAAAAAGAACAAAAGGGGTATGAAGTTTATAACAAGCTGGCTCAGCGGAGGTAAAAAAAGCACTTATGGTTTTCAAGTATTAATGGCTAATTTCCTTATAAAGCATAAACTACATTATTATTTCATTTATTTATTTATTTTTTAGAGAAGCGGTCTTGCTATGTTGCCCAGGCTGGCCGTGAACTCCTGGGCTCAAGTAATACTCCTGCCTCAGCCTCCTGAGTAGCTGGCACATAAATTACATTATAATTACCAAGACTTCCATGGGGAACTTGAAAGCATAACTTAAGGAACATTTTATTTTAAGGTTATACATAACATGTCCCTTCCTCAAACTGGAATATTAATGTCAGCTGGTTATCAATTTGTATAAAAAACAAAAACATCTACCATATTCAAAACACTCATACACAAGATAGTGTATATAGGGAGCAGGATGTTGAGAAATGGTTATCAATGAACAAATGAATTAACGAACTGGTATTTGTAGTCAACTGGCCAAAAACATAATGCATCTGAAATGAGATCAGAATGGTCACCAATTCACCATGGGTCCGATCTGGTCTGCCTTCCAAGTTACAGAAGATGGGCTGCAGTGATAGCTTAGTCAGAAAGCAGAACAGACATGAATCTCCCCGCTCTGTTGAACCTCTGTGTTGTTCACTCACACTGCCATGACACTGCAGAAATGGATCTACTTCAAGCACAGTTGTGATCACTAGCAGTTCCCTACAGCAGTAACATCCCACCTGCAGTACCAATGTACTTACATACATGGGTGTAGTCAGTTGTGCAGTCTTCACTGTTTCAAGCTTCATTATCTTCACATACCACAACAGATATAATACAGCAGGACTGCAAACCAAAGCAGTTCAACTGCAGGCAGAATGATGGCTTGACTGAAAAACATTCTACATTTGTAGCCTCCCTAGAAACTGGAAGTGGAGATGCCATGGCAGCCTTTTGTACAGTGCTAAAACAGTAGCACATGCCAACCTCAAAACAAATGTACACTAATAGGCACTTTGGCTCTTACTAGGTCTGAATACTCAATTCTCCATCACTATGGAAAGAAGCCCAGTCTTTTCCTTCCTGCCTTTCAACTCAGCAAGTCAGGGTTTAGTTTTCAAATCTCAAAGGCGTGAGAGAAAAAAACTGCATGGAAGAGTTACAGCTAGAATGTGTATCATCATCATCATCATCATCTTTTTTTTTCTTTTTTGAGACATAGTCTCACTGTGTTGCCCGGGCTAGAGTGCCGTGGCATCATCCTAGCTCACAGCAACCTCAAACTCCCGGGCTCAAGCAATCCTTCTGCCTCAGCCTCCCGGGTAGCTGGGACTACAGGCATGCGCCACCATGCCCGGCTAATTTTTCTATGTATTTTTAGTTGTCCAATTAATTTCTTTCTATTTTTAGTAGAGACGGGGTCTCGCTCTTGCTCAGGCTGGTTTCGAACTCCTGAGCTCAAACAATCCGCCCACCTCAGCCTCCCAGAGAGCTAGGATTACAGGCGTGAGCCACCGCGCCCAGCCCATCTTTTTTTTTCTTGATACAGGATCTTGTTCTGTTGCCTGGGCTAGAGTGCAGTGGTGTGATCATGACTCACTATAGCCTCGAACTCCTGGGCTCACGTTATATTCCCACCTCAGCCTCCAGAGTAGCTGGGACTATAGGCACATGCCATCATGCCTGGCTAATTTTTAAAATTTTTTGTAGAGATGGGGTCTTGCCATGTTGCCCAGGCCAGTCTTGAACTCCTACCCTTAAGGGATCCCCCTGCCTCAGTTTCCCAAAGTGCTGGGATTACAGGCATGAGCCACCTTGTCTACCATGTATCTTCTTACTCAAGCTCTGGCAGTGCTCATATCTACAATGCTGGAAATAAGCCATCCAGACTCCATTGCTTAAAAGCTCCCACATTTTTGGAAAAGGTAACTTGTTTTTTATTTAATATGAAGTTTTCTGGTTTATTTACTCTTTCCTTCACTTCTGCCTATAAAATTATAATCTGAGTTATAAATATGCTCTAGTTTTAAACTAAAAATTAGGCTCATGGTTTTCAGTTTGTCATGTAAGAAGCCTGGAAATTACCACGCCATCCTAACAATAATCAACAAACTGAAAAATCAACTCTTTTTAGATCTGTAAGAGAAGTAAGGTCACAGAGCAAACCACTGCTCCCCAAATTGGAGAGACAGAATACAGAGAGTCACAATTTACTGGAGCAGAAACTCAGGAGCTGAAACCTGTGTGGAACCAGTGCAAGCTAGGGAAACCTGAAATGTAACTGGAGAACTACTGGAGGCTCAGTGTAAACAAGACTTACAGATAAATACTCCAGGCGACCCAGTTCTGGGGGTCTGGGGGAGTGATACCTTTCTGAGTTTTATCTCCTAGACCACCACCTCCCTCACAGTGAATATCAAAGAAACATCCCCTGTGCTTCTGGGAAGGGGGGAAGGGGGGAGGGCAAAAGGAACCATTTTTAAACATGCCAGAGCATTCTGCCTTCAAGAGAAACTATTTAATAGAGCCTAACCTGCTGGGGCTTTATCAGAGCCTAATTGACCCGGGAGAAGGGAAATACTCAACTCCAGCCCCCTCTAGTCATCCTGTCCCACCTAACATGGGCACTATGACTGAGAAGCACTGGCAAAGTTCCCAATCCAGAGGCAGAGGCTCAGGAAAAGACTGAGACCTAATCTTGGACTATAGAATGCTTCCTTGCCCCCACAAACCTTACCACCACATCACTAAAGGCCTATTTACCGCAGTTTCTTTCACCTAGTATTAATATATCATGTCTACCTTTCAAAGAAAAATTACAAGACATGCCAAAAGGCAAAAAACACAGTATGCAGAGACAGAGCAAGCCATCAAAAGCACACTCAGATATAGCAGGGATATGAGAATTATCAGACTCGGAATTTAAAACATTATGATTAATATGCTGATGGCTCTAATGGATAAAGAACAGATATGCATGCAAGAACAGATATGTAATGTAAACAGAGAGATGGAAACTCTAAAGAACCAAAAAGAAATGCTACAGAACAAAAACACTGTAACAGAAATGAGGAATGCTTTTAATGGGCCTAGTATTAGGTTATTAAGTATGAAATGTCCGATGCCCTTAGGTACTAAGTTTGACAGTTGGTATCTCCAACATTTCACTTTGACACTTCTTGTTTTATTTTTAGTATGAAGGTACATTCTCAGTCTTTCAAAAGCACAGTTTGGCTTGTGATTATCTTTCACATTTTTTTTTAGAGCAATTTTTGTGAAACCATGTTTAAGTCAAAAATTCGTATTATTTTTGAATATGTGTTCCATCATGGAACCAATACTGTGCAGACAGCTCGAGATATCAATGAAATGTTTGGGAAGGATGTGGCTAATGAACACACAGTATGTCAATGGTTTGAGAAGGTCTGTTCTGATGATTTTAATCTTGAAAATATGCCAGGTGGGCCACCTGAGACCAAGGTGGATAATGATTAGCTGAAAGCTATAATGGAAGCGAATCCATCTCAACCTACACATGAATTAGCAGCAAGGTTTGACATTATTATTCCAACAATATTGGACCATTTGAAACAAATTGGTAAGGTAAAGAAGCTGGCTAGATGGGTTCTGAATGATTTAAATGAGCACTAGAAGAGAAATTGTCTCAAAGCTTGCCTTTCTGTGCTGTCAAGACATAAAGGCGAACCATTTCTACACCATTATTGTTACATGTGATGAAAAATGGATTCTTTTTGACAATTGCAAGTGTTCAGCACAACGGTTGGATAAAGATGAAGTACCAAAACACAGTCCAAAACCAAATATTCATCAAAAAAAAGCTAATGGTGTCTGTTTGGTGGTCCAGCACTGGTATTATCCACTACAGCTTCATGAAACCTGGTCAATCGATTACAATGGATGTCTACTGCAACTAGTTGGATGAAATGATGAGGATGCTTGCGAGTAAGCAGCCAAGACTGGTCAACAGAGACAGGCCAATCCTCTTACAAGACAATGCTGGACCACATGTTGCACAAACAACGCTGCTCAAGCTACAGAAGCTGGACTTGGAAACTCTCTGTCATCCACCATATTCACCAGACCTTGCACCAACTGACTACCACTTCTTCCGGCTTTGGACCACTGTTTTTAAACATCATACTGGAAGTCCTAGCTAATGCAATAAGACAAGAAAAGGTATACAGATTGGGAAGCAAAAAATAAAACTCTCTGTTTGCAGATGACATGATTGTCTACACAGAAAATCTGAAGAATCAACAAAAAAGCTCCTGGAACTAATAAGCAATTATAACGAGGTTTCAGGACACAACGTTAATAT